GAGCGGGCAGGAGGCTCCGAGGTCTAGCGAGAGCCTGGCGCCTTGCACGTCTCCGGCACTGCCTCCTCGAGAGAGCCCAGACATGCTGCCCAGCCGCCTTCTGGCTTTGCCCCTCGCTGCCCCGTGGCCGATCCTGCCACACGCGTTTCCCCCGTGCGGCGTTGGCAGCAGAGCGCGGGGCTCCCCAGCGCCTCTGTGGGACGTCTCCCGCGGGGACGCGGGAGGATCCCGCGTGCTTTGCTGAGACCCCACCACGAATCTCGGGCTGGGGGGGCCCGAGTCACCCCCCGCTCTCAGGGGTGATCCTGGAGGAAGTCCTTCCCCCGGCCTCGAGCGGGCCCGCGCAGCTGGACCGAGACACGGAGCTGCACAATACGCAGGAAGCGCAGCGCAGGCCTGTTAGTATTGCCGGAATAAGTTTAATGTCAGGAATTTCCTGCCTCGCAGAGGAATCTGAGGCATTAGCATCAAACGCCAAAAAAAGACTCTGCTAACGCCGGCTTAGTCCCTGGACTGGCCATGGAGGGCAGAGAGCGGCAGGATCAGTCACGGCCCTGCGCTGAACCCTGCTCCCGCGGGCCCAAGGGCAGCGGGAAGGTGTTCAGAGGCTGCGAGTGGGAAGGGGGAAGGTGTCCAAATTTATGATCTGGGATGAGGCTAACTCGTGGCAGGGGGGATCGCAGGGCCTGCCGGCACAGCCGTCTTTCCCTCCATGTGGATAGGGATGGTTGAGCCCGAAGCAGCCCGGATCCTCCCGCGTCCCTTCCCAGCAGCTCGAGCGAGTGGGAAGAGGTAGGAGATGGCACAGGGGGACGCTGGCAGGGGGTTCGGCAAGTCGCGTGCCCAGGTAGGAGATGACGGACCTAGCAGGGTGCAGGTGGTTTTGGAGCAGGGGCCCGCTGCCAGGCGATGCTGGCTGCAGATTGCAAACCTGGGGCAGGGGGCTGTGCTGGGAGAGGACCCAGCTCTGGGGGCGTCTGTGTGTCTCCATCCCTTCTCCCAGGCTTGTTAAGCCTCCACTGAGAGTCAGCTCAGCCCCATGTTTAATGGGTAAGTGGGAGGTGTGGGCGGCAGGTTGAACATTGGCGCAAGGCACCTTCGTGCTTCGTTAAGAAATGCCAGAGCCATGCTGAAGGCACCAGCATCATCCTGCCTCCGGGGCGCTCTGCACAGAGGCCGAGGTGCTCAGGGCCAGGAAAGGTGCTGCAGTGGGAGCAGGTGTGGGAAGCTCTGCCAGCAGGGCCTGGGGAGGGAGAGGCCCTGCAGTGACACAGAGAGGGGCAGAAAACTTTAACGCCTTTCCTTCCCGAGGAGCGGGAGGGGGCGCAGGGGACCCCAGCCGCTGCAAGATGCCGATGGGTGCGTAACAGCTGACAGAGGGATGGCATCTCCCCTTGGCGAGAGAGGTGCTGAGCTGGGGATGATGCTCCGTTGCTGCTCCTCATGCCGTGCAGAGGCCCTGGAAAAAATTGTAGAGGGCCAGTGTGGGCTGGAGGTCCCAGAGCAAACACAGGACCAGGAGGTCGGTGGCTCCTGCCAGCAGGTTAGGTGAGCGCTCCAGGGCTGGAGGACAGACGGCTGCCCTGTCTGTGCAGCATCAGCCCAGCAGGCCTCGGCAGGGATGGGGCACTCCAGGCCCCAGTGATGGTAAACGTTGCACAGAAAGCTGCTGGGCCAAGTGCCTTGATTGCTGCTGCTCCCTGGGAATGAGCGGGTCTGGGTGCACAGGGTCGAACCAAGCCATGCGCGAGACGTGTCTGGGGGACCAAGTGTCAGCATTGTCTTAGGGCCACACAGATCCTGGCGGGGTCTGCCTGAGGGACCAAAGCTTCCAAAAGCTACCTGGGAGGTTGTTCCCCTTCCCTCTGAAGGACAAGATGGGCAAACGGGGCTGGGAAAGGGGAGATTGCAGGTGGCAGGTGGTTTCACCCCAGGTGTCCTGGACAAGCCATTTGCGGCATAGCAGGTGAGACCTATCTCACCTGCAGCCAATGCCAAGCTCTTGGGTAACCGCTGGAGCCAAGGCAGCCCCAAGTGACCCCTGTAATGCTGGGGTACGTACGTTCCCCATCCCCTCTGCAGTTAAGCTAGCTGCCTCCAACCTTTCCGGAGAGCCTTTCTGCCTGTTCCTCACTGGCGCTCAGCTGTTGCACCAGCAAACCGCTGAATACGTGTAACGTATTGGTTAGTGCTAGCAGCTATCTTCTAACGAAGCTCTGGGCTCTGCCCAACGAGCTGCTGTTAGCGGGGGCAGAATTTAAACCTGCTATGGAGAAGGGACGGGTTTGTTGATCCTGGGCAGGAAGCCGAACAAGCTGGAGGTGATGGAGGAGGCGGAGAAGGTTCGGCGCTGGGGGGATGTGACAGCCCTGCCTTAATGCCACTCTGCTCTCCCCTTGCAGAGAAGACCGGGAAGGTACTGGACGAGTTTTGCCGGTGCTACAAGGAGCAGTACGGAGTAGCACTCTTCAACAGTGTCCGCTATGAAATCGAAGGCAACGGCGGGCCGCAGTCGCAACTACTCCACCGCAAGGTAAGGGCATGGCTCCTCTGAGCCTGGAGCCAGCTCAGGCTGCTGTGTAGGGCCGAGGGCTCAGCTCCTTTCTCTGCAGTGGAGGCTTGTGCTGCAGCGTCAGGCAGCCAACTGGCAGCTTGCTCCCCGTGCCCGGCGAGCACAGACCGTTATCCCCTCTGCAGTATGGGGGATGCCTTCCTTGGTGTGTGGGGCTGCAGCGCTCACGGGTCTGTTGGAGATGGTTAGGTGCCACGGTGGGAGCCGGCAGTGAAACACCTCCTGCCGCTGCGGGAGGGGAAGGGGCACTGGGTGCTCCAGTGCTGGGAAAGCCCACGGCAGGGAGACTGGAGAGTGCTGGTTGCCAAAGCAGCGAGCTCCATGTGTGGCTCCCTGGGAGAGATTTTCTTTTCAAATCGGTGCAAGAAGCACACCCAGCAACTAGGGGGTGAGGCTTGCTTTTGGCTGTGACCCAAAGTTAATTTGTGTGTTTAATGACAGGGCTTGTTGAAGGCACTTCTAACTGATAAGAAGTTCCTAGGACTTGCTTGTGCCTGATAAAAGCCTGAAAGTAGTAGTGTGACTGGGGCTGTCTGCTCTCATGGGACTGTGCGTGCATGCTGGGCTATCTTCTCTGCTCCTCTAGGTGCAGCTGGGGCTCTCACACTGACAAATGTACAGAGGAAGGGCAGGGAACCTTTCCTTGAGGAGCTCTCCACCTGAAAGGCTTCTCTGACCCTGTGCTGGTAAAAGAAGGTGGTTTGAAGTCTCTGTCACAATCAGGTTCCACTTCTTGCGCAAAAAGCAGTGGCAAAGACTTCAGCTGTCTCCCCGGTGGTGTTATTGCTTGCAGATGCGTTACTGGGGACCAGCCCCTCCTCTTCTGCCTCCCAGTCAGGACCAAAGGGAGATGAACTCAAGTCCTGGACTGTGGCCGTGCTGTGATTTCTTGCTAGCAGCTACTTTTTGAGGTTTTTCCCTTGTTGGTTCAGTGGAGCTGCCGTACTGCAGGCTGTTCACACTTCCTCCCTCTGAAGGGGAAGGGAGCACGAGCTTCGACAGAGAGAGACGGCCACAGGATCTCAGGCTGTGCCTGATGGGAAGCCGTTGGTTAGAAGAGGAAAGGGAGATCGTTTGTTCTTGGCCTATAATTAGAATTGGTAGGATTTGCTTTGATTTCTCACTGGTGATTGGGAAACAGCATCCACTCTACCCTTGGTGTTCACTGATTGGCTTTTTACTAGCAGGAAATAAAATGCACGCTCAAATTAAAAACAAGCTACTGATTCATGTATAAGCCACTGGAATATAGTGTTCAGTTCCTCCTTGCCAGGCTGAGCTAGTGGCAAGACTGGGCACTTCCTGACTTCCTCTTGCTACACTGCAGTTTACTGTGGCTCTCCTGGGAGCTTTGCAATGACCCGAAAATTGGAAAGAGATTGCACAAAAGCAATGAAGAGCATGAAAGAAGGTGAGCATGAGGGCAGTGCCCGAGCACATAGGAGCAGGGGAAGAGCTGCAAAGGGAACAGCATGAGTTCAAGCTCATAAAGGAGACCTGAAGGGAAATAAGGGGTTCATAGATATTCTAAAGGAGCTGACATGGGCAGGTGCTTTTCCAATGGTGAGGGAGCACAGAGGCTGCAGGTTACTGATGTCTTCAAGGCTATCCTTAGCAATCAAAGTGAAAACGAGTCTCATGTCTGGTCCCAGATGACTGCCCGCCTCTTGTTCTTTTTACAAGGCAGTAGGGCTTCTTCACTCACCCTAGTGACTGGTGGCTGCAAGTTCCTCCTTGGGTATTGGATGCACCTCTTTTTCCAGAGCATGACTCACTAGCAGTGTCCATCTCGGGAACAGTGCTGCAAACCCACCATATTGTGTCTTCGGCTCTCTCACTGCACTGACCCCCTCTTACCTCCTCAAGGCCACAGTGTTGAGACAGGATCCTTCTTCTCAGCTGTTGTTGGCCAGCCTGTGGCAGCCTCCTCATATTTGCCAACTTTCGGAAGTCTCTGAGGGCAGTTTCTGGTCGCAGCTGGGAACGTCCCTTCTTGCCACTTCCCTCTATCCTTAGCACTTTGTCCAGGAATGGGGCTGACTGGAGTATTTTTGGAGTTAGTGGTGAACAGCTTGCACAAATGGAGCTATTAGAAATCAGGGCAAGCACTGCTGAGGTTTTTATAACAGAATGTGAGCTGACTTCTGAAGCAGCAAAGTGCTAGAAGAGAAGGAGCAGGGAGGTAGCCAGGGATGGTAGAGCTGGCACTGGATGTCCCAGGTGCCCTTAGGGGATGCTTTCCTTACCGCCTGCTGCTGTCCCTCCCCTTATGATTCCTTCTGTTACAGTTACAGAGGGGAACACCAGCAGGGCCAAGGGATTTTTTACTATCACAGAGGCTATCATGTGTCTGAGTTTCCTGGAGCCCAGCTTCCTGCTCCTCCTTTGCATGTCTGGGTGCAAAAAAGAGAAACTGGCTGTTCTTTGTTGAGGGTTTCCAAATCTCTGGCTGGCTGGCTGGAGCAGTGTCTTGGGAAGTCCTGGATACGCAGCTGTTGCTTGCATGTAATATGTAGGCAGTAGGTACCTGCATGCCTCAGAGGAGGCTGTGTGCATGTGTGCAGTGAGTCCGCTGCAAGTGGTCAGTATCTGAGTCCACCATGCATATGTGGCTGGTGCAGGGAATCCAGTGCTTCAGGTAGACCTGCATTTCCTGGGTGGAAATAATGATCCCAAGCCACCACGTTCTCAAACTCACCTTAGAGCAGGTCCTGTGAGCCCTGTAAGGGGCGGAGAGCCAGCACCTTGCAGCATCTACCACACGAGAGTTCTGCCCTCAGTGATGAGAAAGCTGTTGCTGATAGATGGCATTATAGCGAAATGGCTGGCACCTCTCCAAGCCTTGTTATGTGCTCATTCCCACTGAGTCACCATGCACATTGGCGTCTCCTGACTTCTGCATGCGTGAGGAAAGGGGGGATGCAACTGAATTCCCCTGAACCCTCTCCTGGGTAAGGGGCTCATGGCTGTGGGAGAGCAGGCATGCCCAGTGGGGTGTTCCTCTAGAAAGCTGAGTACCCCAGGATTTGTTATGGCCATTCTCCCTGCCACCACAGTGCCCTTTGTGCCTGGTTGCGTCTTCCTTTTTGGAGCATGTGGCCCGTCTCTTGTGTGACGTGTGCTGCCTGGTTGGCTGAATGGTCCGCATGTTCTCAGCTGCCCTATCGTGGGTCTTGCACCCCTGGGCAGACCACAGTTGATTTGTAGATGCATGTTTAGACCAGGCTGGAGGAGGTGTGATTGCCAGTGTGGGATTTTTCTGCTTTTGTTTGGGATTTTCAGTATTTCTGAGAAATCTAGAGATAGCGTCAATGAGATTAGAATTGAGCCTTGTGTATTAGCTGTGGCTGTCCTCCAGGCCAACCTACGTGAATGCGTATCCACCATGTTTTTATAGGAAGGAGACCACCTAACCCATGCCCCTATTCTTCTGAAATGTGCCTAGGGAGCTCCAGTCTCAGCAATGCAACAGGCCAGAGCACTGCAGCCTGCAGTGACGAGTACTGGCCTGTTCTGTCCCAGTGTGGATGTTGCAAGAGCGGGCAGTGTGTCTATGCCTGCCCAAGCCCTGGGTGTGTCAAGCAAAATAAAGGTGTGGAGGTAAAAGTTCCTGAGTAGGAACAGGGAGCCCCATGTCCACAACAAGACTTTTACTGGGTTCATCACAATTTGGCAGATGAATTCAACCTTCTCTGGGGAGGTACCTCCTTCTAAAGGTTGCTTGTTTTGTAAAATACTCCATCAAGCAGTCCAGGAATGTATGAGAAATGGAAGCGAGTCAGCAAGGTCAGGGACGCGGTGCAACTCTTTAAAACAAGAGTATATAAATAGGACATTCCACGGCCGAGCTGTTGCAAGAAGTCTCGTCTGCTCCCCCCTCCCACCTCTGCTACGGAGCCTCAAAGCCTTCAGCTGGGCCTGGGAATGCAGGAGGGATTTGCGAGGTAGTGAAGAAAAAGTTGGGGCTATGTTCCTAGGAGTGCTAGTAACAGCAAGTCCCTAATGCAGGGAGATTGAGCATCCTCCTGCAGTCAGTAAGGTGGAGGCCTCGGCTGTGACTTTGGTTGTCTTCACTCTGGCCACCCCTAACCAGACCTTGGAGAGACTTCTTATCAGTCCTGGCATTCCCGATGGGATGCGTTACCCTGTGCTCAGTGCCCAACGGATGAGCAGCACTTTGGACGTTGCCCCTACTTGTGCGGTTTGGTTCCCGCAGGGTTCAGCGACTGTGCTGGCACAGTGAGGTTTTCACTGACTCGGCCTGCTCTGCTGAGGGACAGCCAAGGCTTTCTGGAAAGTGCCATCGGAAGCAGAGTTTCCCTCCTTCCTGCCCAGCACCCAGAGGAGCAAACTGAGCCCATTCAGCTTGGAGCTAGCTCCATGCGTAGCTGGGCAGCCCACCAGTGCCATGATGTCTCTCGGGAAGGGAGCATAGTGGGCTGGTGAGATGAGCCTGCACCAGTGCCGAAGGTGGACGCTGGGAGGGAAGGGGTGGGGAGAAGAGAGGGAGTGAGCTTTTAAGTTCGTATGAGGGTTGATGGCACCCCTGGGACTAGAGGCAGGTCCTGGGATGGACAGTACCTATACCAGTGTAGGGTGTCACAACCGTAGATTCCAAGGAGCTGGAGAGATCATCTTGTCTCAGCTTGGCTCTGCACTCCCGTAATTTGCTGAAAAAGTCAAGGATGTCAAAAAGATGCAGGCTAGTGTCCTCTCAGTCCTTGGGCAGAAGTCCTCTACTGTGGGTATGGGCTTTTTGTTTTGTGTTTGGTTGGCTGGTTTGTTGTTCTTTTTCTTTTACCAAGGGAGGGAACTGACATCCCTATAGGGACTCTGTGCTCAGTGACAGCCCCACTGTGGGGTCAGAGGTGCAGGTGGGCATAGGCCCCTGAAACGCCAACAAGAAGCAACAGTGCAAGAAATAAATGTGTCAGCCTTTAGTCTCTCTAGCAGGGCTTTTCACCCTTAGCCAGCCCAAGGATGCATTTTTGCTTCTGGTTTGATTGTGAACAGTCGTAGTGGATAGCACATGTTGTGGTGTCTGGAGTCAGTTTTGGGACTCCGGAGGTGCAAAACAGAACTGGACAAGCGCCTTGCTTGTAGTGGTTTTGGGCAAACTGGTGAACTGAACTCTTTCCTCTGCAAACTGGCACAAAGCGGGGACAGCTCTTGGGGCAGAGCAGGACATCGTACTTGCAAAGTGCTCTGAGATCCTCATGGGCCTCTGAAAAATAATCACAGAGCATCCTTTTTGTTCATAACAAACTTCTCTGCTTCTCCTGGCCAAGTACCAAAACAAATATATCTAGACCCAGATCTTGCTGCTGACTTAATGATACCAAACAGGATGTGGAGGTGGTGGCTCTCCCCCACACCAGGTCCTCAGATGTGGCATGGTTGATCCAGGCAGTCCAAGGCCCTCCATCGGCATGCTCACCTGGCTGCCTCCCTTCCCTTCCTAGCAATTTGGTGTGTACATTCATGTGCCAAATATTTTCTCGGGGTGGGTAATGTCACCTAACTACCCTCTCCTTGCAAGCAGGGTATGTGAAAGAGAGATGCACAGAGGGAGTTGATGTGGTGCCACCTCCACATCTCCTGTGCAAGGTGCCACTGTACTGAGTGAGCTCTGCAATCTGCTGGGCTGCAGTGCTGAGCTCTGTTAGCTGAGAGCCACAGGAGGGCAAAGTCGCTGCCCTCTGGCTGCTTGCAGACTCTAAAGCCAAATAGCTATGCTTTTTAAAGGCATTTTACAACTGATCCTCAGCTCTGCGGAATGTAAACTCTTGACTCTCTTACTTGCAAAACTGTCTACCTGCTGAGGTCACCTGCCCAGCCAGCCTCCAGTGAAATAACTTGCATTTATCTCAAATCTCTGGTCCCTGCTTGGCCTCCCAGCAGACTCTGTAAGCTGGCAACTCTGGATGAGTCCTGCCATGCCCAGCCAGTTCCTACCTGTAGTCAGGCTAGCACATGTGGTTTGAGGGGAACACCTCTTCAATCCTGCTTTTTAGCCCCCAGCCTGACTGGCAGGACTGTGGGCTGTCACGATGGTGCTATTCTTGCTGTGGTCTGAAGACCCTAGTGGGTGAGAGCATGGGTTCCCGAGCCAAGGGACCCCCCAAACCCTCCTCAAGCTTCAGCCTGGGCTTTGTTTTATTTTGTTTAACCAAGCCAGTCTTTATGGCTTCGTCTGCCTTGGGGTCGAGGCTGGCCTTGGAGGGCAGTGGTTTCGGAGCTTGGCTATAGGGGCCAGTTCTCCATGTTTGGCTGGTAGATGTGCTGCCCTGTGAGACGCTGGTGGGGGCCTCTTGGAGCTGGCACCAGAGGGAGGCCTACCTTTGACAGCTACCCTTCCCCATGCAGCACCAGGTACCAGCTGCCACCCCCAGGGCTTCTCCCACCTCACGTCTCATGGCCCCTAACAGCCTTCGCTGTCCCCATCCCTCTTGGTGGCCTTTAGATTAGGATTCTTGTCATTAATTCATGGCGCTCTACCTCCTATGGGGTCTGCTTCACAATTTCTTCTATTTGCTGCCTTTATTCTTTGCAAGAGGGAGAAGAGAGGGAATGGAAAGACACTGTGAGTCTTTTTAACTAAGCTAAATTTCTGTCAGCTCTCTCTTAAACAGAAGGGGATATTGGTTAGTGAAGTGGTCTGGGTTTTGGAGAAGCAAGTGAGATGCCTGGGTTGTCTTTATGTGCCAGCCTGGCCTTTGAGCTGGCTGTAGGGCTTGAAGCTGACAGCAGCTACAACATTTGAGCCTGTCTGGAAAGGAAAGAGGAGAGGAAAACCTCTCCTGCATGAGGATCCCCGCTTGTGTTAGGTGCACCACGTTCCGTCTTGGGGTAGCATTGTGGCGTGGTGAGGATCCCAAGTCCTCTCTGGTCCCTCCCAGATACTGATCCTTGTGGTGGATGGATATCGCGGGAAGAGCTGGCCATCAGCTGCTCAGACCCTCAGCAGAGCTCTTTGGCCTTGTTTATGTTCCAGGGATCATAAAAATTCCTGGGACAAATTCTTGGCTCATTCAGTGAGCCTGTGTTTGAGACAACGTAAACGCTGCCTGTGTGCAGGCCAAAAAATGCTGGAAAGCTAGCGAGAGGCTGCTTGGCCCAGCCCATGCTCTGGCTTGGCCCATGCTCCGCACGTTCAAGGATGCGGGCTACCCTCAGCCTATTTGTCACTTGCCTTCCATGAAATCTTGAACATTCAAGCATTGCTTGTTGCAAGATGGCTTTTTGCTTTTCCCCTTTCCTGTCCTATCTAGGTAGCAAGCGAGGGCAGGACTTGATTCTTGCCTTCCACAGCTTGCCACTGACATATACCCCAGTGGTACCTTCAGGCTGATGGCCACTGTGAAGCAGTAATGTGCAAGCTCCCTCCCTCCCCAAGCATAAATCACAGCATAATTGAGGTTGGAAAGGACTTCTGGAGGTCCCTGGTGCAACCTCCCACTCAAAGCAGGGCTAATCTGCAAGTTAGATCAGGTTGCTCAGGGCACATCCAGCTGACCTTTGGATTTCTCCAAGGAAGGAGGTTTGACCACCTTCACAGTGGAAAATGCTGCAAGTGACTTAACTGCTGACATGCGAGCAGCCACTCAGAGTTTTTCTAGGGCTGTACTTGTAGTAATCCTCGACACTGTTATCTTGAGCCGCAGATGCACCTATTTAGGCACCTAAATTTGAGGTATAATAGGAGATAATCCAATCAGGAGCTCGGGGACACTCAGCATATACCTAGTGTGGATCAGTCCTCCCTGAGAAAACCTCAGGCCTCCCTGGGAGGAGCCGAACAACCGTAAAGATAACCAGGACTTCCTGTGGCCAAGTTCTGGTGCCCCTACCCCTTGCTTCATGCCCTCCATCTCTCTGAGATGCATTAGGGGGATGCTGTTGAACTCCCCATTCAGGGCTGCAGCACCTTACAGGACAGTCCCAAGCACTCCTCAGCTCCCCTCCTCTTAGTCCTGCAGCCCGCTCTCACTGTGCCATCTTCTCCCTGCAGGTTCCACTGGAGGACCATGTCATCTACTCAGGCAACCTCTTTCAGTACATTGAGGAGAATAAGAAGTGGAGGAACCGCTTCTGCGTGGTCCCACACAACTACGGCTTGGTGCTGTATGAGAACAAACTGGTGAGGACTTCCCTCTGCTCTGATTTGCTAGTGGCCCTTCATCTCGCTCCCTACTTGTGGGGCTTGTAGGGTGGCCTTGCTGCCTGGGGACACAGAGGGCCTGCTCAGCAACGTCACATCCTTGAACCCAGACCTTACTGGTGGCCTGATTTTGATGTGGGGGCTCAGGCGCCTCATGAAGCAGATCGCCTTCCATCAAGGAGTGCTTGGCAAAAGATGTTCAAACAGCTCTTGCGCTCCGTTGACACTTCCCATATTTCAGCGTGAACGGGCTGAGGTGCTGCGCCTGGCACAGCTGGGGATTCGGCTTCCTCCAGATAGCTGAACGAAGCCCTGCGTTCCTGGGCAGGGGCGCAGAGCTGTGGGACCACCCCTCTGGACCCTGGCGTAGCTGTGACAACGTGGCTGTGGTCTCAGTTGTCCTCCCTCAAACTGACTGTCTTCTCTTTTTCCCCCCAGGCCTATGAGCGAGTGCTGCAGCCTCGTGTGCTGGTGAACAGTGCTGGCTACAAGATCCTCACTTCCCTCGACCAGTACCTAGAGCTGGTTAACAGCAGCCTGCCTGGTAGGTGGCCTCTATCTCCTGACGCATGAGGAGGGATGTCTGGAGCTTGGGGATCCTCTGCACTCCAATGCCGGCCCACAGCCAGCTCTGCCCTGCCCATGTCCTGGATGCTGTACCCGGATGAGAGCGGGGAGCTCTTTGCTCTTGGTCTCTCTCTGCTCCACTGAGTTTTCCCTCCTAAAAGGAGTAGGAGGGATGAGGAGAAAGGAGCAGAGGAAGTGACTGGTCCCGTTGAAATGCCCACCCTTGCTTTCGAGGTGGAGGGGGGTACACTGCTCCTCCTGTGCTGTGCGACCACATCCTGGGCAGTCTTAACAGAGAGCTGCAGTTGCCTTGTGACTTTGGGAGGACATGGTTTCTGGGATGTGGGGCTGTGGAGAAGGAAAGCAGCCTTGGGGTCACGTTCCTCCCGTGGGATGGAGGATGGACCACGCCGTGTCCAGCGTCTGCTACTCAGATACTGCCACAGCCTGCAGGGAAATAAGAAAAACATTTCTGTATCGCAAATGAGAGCTTCCTCTCGATTTGCTGCTACCTCCCTATGCTGATTTGGGCTGGGTGAGGGGAGACAGGGTGAAGGCAGTGGTTCTGGGTGCTGAGCGCTCCTGTTCACGAGTCCGCTGCCTCTGCAATTAAAATCCTGAGACACAGCTGAGGAGGGACTGGACTCCAGCCTGCTCAGCGGCCCCCTTCGCCTTCCCCAGGGCCATGCTGGGCAGGCCTTCATCCCTCCAGGCGCCTCTCACTTCATTGAAATCAATTTAATCCATAACATTTTGTTCTCAGTCCTGCTTGGAGCCACAACGGGTGGGCTGAGCAGTCCCCCTCGTGGGACAGGAGGGCTGTGCCACATGTCGGGGCTGGGGCTCGCAGCACTGCACTGGGCTGTGCGTGCTGGCTGCCCTGCGTGCATAAATGCCTTTCCGAAAGGACGGGGCAGCCCCGAGGGAGCCAGGCAGGAATCTGCTGAAACAGCTCACAGAGGGCAGAGAGCCCTTTGTGTTCACTGCGAGACATTTCCTCCAAAACCCAGCCAGTTCAATGACCTCTCAGCGATGCTGCAAAGTGTTTGTGCAGACCCAGCCTGGCCCGTGCCGTAAGCAGGGCTCTGTCGGGAGCTGGGGCAGGGGCCTGTGCGCAGGTCCAGGCAGAACCGCAGCAAATCGCTGCCGGGTCAGGCCAGGAGTGCTGAAAAAGTGACGTGATTACGTGATGGGTTTTTCTGTTTCACTTCCCATTTGCTTTTTGGAGGAGCTAGGCTGCCCCTTGTTTTTGGTAGGACGCATGGGAGAGCTCACCTCTAGGGGAGGAGACGAGGGGGTCTTGCATGTCCCTCCTGCAGGATGTCCTGTGTCTCCGGCAGCCCCAGGGAGCCATGCATCCTGATCTGACACAGCAAAAGGACCTCTGTCTCACAAGCACTGAGGCGCAAATCCCCCCCGCTCCCCCGAGCCTGCTCTTGACCTTGACAATTTGAGGAAGAGCCTTGTTAACTCCCCAGCAGGAAATCTGCTTTGAGTTTGTTGGCTTTTCCTTTAATATGGATGCTGAGCCTTCCAGATGTCTGCACGCCCTTCCCTTGTGGCTACATCCATTGGGACACTGTGGTTCTAATAAAATCCAGGGATGACAGATGGGATGGGAACAGGGCTGCCCGCTCCTCTGCCGTCTAGCATGTGGCAGCCAGGGGAAGCCCTCAGGCGTCTTGGCCAGCCCCAGCGTGTGCTGTGGGGGCCTTGCAGTCTCCCCATGGTCAGTGGCTGCACTTTTATGGGAAGGATGAAGCCATCCCTTGGTTTGGGGCTGTCAGCGCTGCTCTTTTGCTGGGCAGCCTCCCAGGATGGTCCCTGACCAGAAGGTGATATGAGCCATGTCACTTCTGATCAGGCCAAGGGAGGAGAGATTTTTGAAGACATGCTTGTGGGTCTGGTCTTGCAGGAGTTGCCTTTTAACATGAATGCCAAGGACGTTTACCAAAGGTTGTCCTGGCCTGGCATGATACGAGTAACATTCAACTTGGCAGCGCAGGTTTCCACAGCACAGGGTCACGATGGACAAATCCCACAGTTCCTGCAACTTCCCCATCCCGGAGCGCAGCCCTGCTCTTCAAAGTGTCCTTTCTCCCCGCAGGCGTGACACCCAAGTCTGGGAACACCCCAATCCTGAAATGTCCCACCCAGTTCCCCCTCATCCTCTGGCACCCCTACGCCCGGCACTACTACTTCTGCGTGATGACGGGGAAGGAGCAGGAGAAGTGGCGGGCTGTCTTCCAGGACTGCGTGCGGCACTGCAACAATGGTGAGGTGGTGTGGGTGACATGTCAGGGAGCTCGGTGGCGGGGAGGAAGAGGAGGGGGGCTGGGACTCGAAGAGGTGGCACTGGGGTGGGGAGAGGACAACCCTCTCTTGCACCCTTGATGGGAGCCTCTGCAGCGGGTATCCTGCCTGGGAAAGGACGTAGGGAGTCCTTCAGCTGGCAGGTTTTGGGCCCGAAGAGGGGCAGTTGAGGGGTCAGGAGGAAGAATTGAACGGGGACTGCATGACTGGGAGCTGTTGGGCATCTCCGCTCCTCATCCGCGGCCCAGGAGTCTGCTGGGTGCTGCCGTAGAGCAGGTACGTGCTGAGTCTGGTGCCCCCAAAAGCAAGGGCAGCCAGAGTGGAGGAACGCACAGAAGCCCCACTCAGCTCCCGCGGGAAGTTGAGAGCTCCTGGCCGTTCAACACAACCCACCGTCTCGGTGCAAGGCTTTATCCCACTGGCCCCGAAGAGCGTGGTGCCTATCTGAGTGCCATGGCTGCCCGGCTTTTATTACGGACTGTCACTCGTGGCTGCCAGCTCTTTCAGAAGACAGCTAAAAGGCACCAGCGTGCATGACTCTTTTCCACCCCAGGACAGAAAATACTTGGTAATTAACTTGGTAATTAACTCATCAAAACTCCAAGTCACCGTCCTGCTCTTCCTCCTCCCATGCTCTGCAAGCCGTCTGCGCTGTCTGTCCTGGCGGAGGCTGCCCGCTGGCGACCGATGGATGGGCTGCTGCGAAGGTGCTGCCATGCCACCCGCAGGCCCTGGAGCCGTGGGCAGGGTGGCAGCAAGGGCTGTGGGATGGTGGGAAGAGGCCGGGCTTTACGTGGACAGGGTGAAGGCACGCGCAGCTTCCCACATCATCTATACTCTGGCAAGAAAACGTGATTTTTCTGCTTAGCTGTGGCCGTTGTTTCCAGGATGAGACCAAGGTGTCTCTGGGTGGCAGGGCAGCATGTAGAAATTTCTTGGGTAAGACAGCGCTAGTAATGAAAGATGGTCAGGGCCAACGCGTCCTTCGCTGCTGGGAGCCCTGGGCAGCCCCAGAGCTGCTGTTTGGGGTGCAAAGTAACAGCATGGGGGGCAGAGCTGGAGCTTCCGTGGAGGTTTCCATGGGGCTCACCCGGGCCCTGTGCTCTCCTGGGGGCAACTGGGCCCGACCTGCAGGCTGAAGCGAACTGTCTGGCTGCTCACTGCCCCAGGATGTTGCTTGGGCATCATTTCTTTATAGGTTTTTGGGCTGGATTTTTATTTTAGCCCAGGAGCCCTAGTGCTTGCTGACTGTACCCCCAAAGTCCGGGCACTGAGAGCAAAACCAGCTCCTCCTCTGGGTCTCCCAAGCAGAAATGCCCACCTTGTTCTTCCCATCCCTGCCATGCTGTTCATGTCTGTGTGCCACTGTGGGTCCTTGCGTGTCTGCATCCGTGTGTGTCGCTGCCAAAGGAGAGCCGCCGGGGCTGTGGGCAGAGCGAGGTGACATTTACAGCCCCCCACCCCCCAAAATGGGAGCTCCTAATAAAGGAGGAATCAGTCTCTCATAGTAACAAAGACCCGATTTATTGATTTATCATTCTTTCCCCCCTTTTCCTCCCCAGCTGCCCAGGCTCTGCAGTGGGCAAAATGAGAGACGCGCTGCTGGGAAGCCCCTCACAGCATTGACTGGATTTGGGGCTCCCAGGTGCCGGTCCCTGCCTCCAGCCAGGAGTTGTGCTGTTAAATCGTTCTTTCTTTTCGTCCTTCTCAATTTGAGATGGAAGGAGTTACAGAAATGGGCTGTTTCCCAGGAAAGGACCGGTTCTGGTGGGGTTTTTTGACTTTTAAAAATTGTTTTTCTTTGTGATATCTTTTTTCCCTTTTAAAATACAGGTTTCTGCCTGTCATTGTTCTTGTGAGATTGAAGATAGTGTTTCAAATCCAATGGAAAATATTTTGTTTTGTTTTCTTTTTTTTCAAATTAGAGTTTCTTTTTTTTTTTTTTTTCCTGTGCTTGTGATTCGTGTGGGAATTTTCACCTGCCCTCTTAAGCATCTGTATTTTTGTGACAGAGCATCCTTTAGGGAACACAGCACACGCTCCTTGGCTCTGGAGGATTGCTGCTACTCAAACAGGACGTATCAAGCCTAGATTCACCCCCAGCCAGGCCTGGGTGCCTGCAGTACCCCTGTCCTTGGCTGGTCCTGTTGCACTGAAATGGTCCCTTGTCCTAAATGGCGCCGTGGTACTGACACGAGGCACTGGAGCAGTGCCCACCCCGCTTGCTTCATTGCCTCTCCCTGTGATGGTGCCCAGTTCCCATTAATGTGCCCAGTGGGGCCTCTGGGTCTCTTTGCCCTTACTGAGAGCAGGATGCCCAGTTTAGTTGTGTCTTGGGCAAAAGCATCTTTGAACCCACATCTCTTCTTCAGAACTGTTCTCCCAGAGGGACACGATTAGCCTTTGTTTTGAGCAGGGTCAACTTTTAAACAAAGGTACAGGTCTAATATCGCTCTCTGGTATTAGGTATTTCTGGCACATGTCGCACCGTTACCTGGTGGCTTAAGAGCCTTCCAAAAGTAGGGTCCAGGCTGGGGTGTTTGCATCGTACCCCAGGCAAGGCGAGATCAGGGCAGTGCTTTATTAGCAATATATTGATAAGGAAACTCTTGAAACGTGACCTTTGAAATGGTATAGTGGCTTCTTGCAAGAAGTGCTGTCATTTCGCTATCATTTTGCAGCCCTAGCCCTTAAAGGTGGGACAGGGCACTCGGGTGAGGACAGGTCCCTGCAGCCGGGCTGGATCCTGTTGCGCATGGCAGGTCTGTGCCAAGGATGAGCGACCCCGTGCCGGCAGGGCCGAGCAGGCGGTGTCTCAGAGCTGGCCCTGCTTGCTTTCCGCACGGCCCAGTGGACATGGGATGGCTGCTCTGGCTCTGATGCAGGGTCAAGCCCGTGCCCAGACAGTCCTGCCTGGAGCGATGCTGTGCCTGGAGCTTGAGATGAGCCCTGAAGAGCCGCTGCAGGATAAGTACTTACCACTCGCAGGGGCTCCTGAAAGCTCAGCCCTGCTCTGGCTCAGACTCCAGCCAGCTGAGCATTTAGAAAGGGTCAGACTTGACTTTCTCATCTGTTTTTTTCCTCATATGTTAAGCTACCCCTTAGGAAAAGCTGCTTAGGCTTAGAGTTAAATATAATCATCTTAGAGAAATCTGTATATGTTGGAAAAGATCTGCTAAATAACCCAGGGGTCCTGCCTTTCTTGGGAAAGGGAGAAGCCACCTTTGGCTGGATCTCCCTAAGGCGCCGTCTGCTCCAGCTTGCTGGGCGGTCTCGCGCGTTGAGCCGTTGGCGTCCCACAGACGCGTCTAACGCGGACATGCCTTGTGCCTTCGCTGTCATTGCTCCAAGGGGGCTCTCTCTCACATATGCCCCAGCGTACGTGGGGCAGAGACGGGCTGCTGCTGCAGCACAGGGGTGGTGAGGGAGCCCGAGCTCTGGCTGCACTTGCTCAGCCTCTGCCCCTGGGCTTGAATCTCGCTGTTACACGGCGGTGACCGTTTCTAGCTGGCTGGCACACGGTTC